ATCAAGCTGCCCTGGATTCTGCTGGGCTGAGACACTTCCGTCTTGCCCATAAGACTGCAAGTTCCTTGGCACAGCGTCTTGGGGGCTAGAAGGCAGGGCTGTGGGCTGTGGCCCCTGCTTTGCTTCTGAAGCACCATCCGGTTCTGGCTTTTCCCACACCCTCCCTCCCAGCACAGAAGGCTCCTTCCCACCTCAGGGCCTCGGTTCCCCATCTGACTCATGAGGCTCTGATGTCCTAGGGCCCCTGGGCAACGCTGCAGAGGCACATGTCCCCATGATATGCAGAGCAGGATCCAGGAGGCCAGCTCTGAAGATCTCACTAGCACCTGTGGAAACTCCCCTGGGCTGTCCCAGCCAGTGACTGGGCCGAGAGTCATGTGGCCCATGTGTACTTCCCCTCTGAGGAGTCAGTCCTTCCTCCTCAGGGCAGATGGACAGCATCCAGCCACCTCACACCCTCTGGGTGTGAAGCTTGCCAAAATCTGTCCCCAAAGCAGGTTGTCCTCTCTGTCACCCCCATTCCAGTCCACGCCACGTGCTGACATCTTACCTCCTAGGTGGTTCTCTTACCCTGCCTCATATCTCCATCTCTGCCGTCTCCACCTTAGTCCATATCTGGTCATCGCTGCCACGGACTCTGCAGTAGCTTCCCAGCTGGCGTTCTCATGCTCACTGTGGCCCCATCTGGTCTGTCCTCCATTCTCCAGTCAGTATGGCCCTTTCAAATGCCCATCTGGCTCACTGCACCACCACTCCCGCCACTCCACCCTTCTGTCTGGAGGATTCCAGAGGTTGTTCTTTAAACATCTTCCTGTGGCTACAGGCTCTGCCTGGTGGGGCCCTGGCCGAGCTCCCCAGCCCCTTCTGGCCCTCTGGCCCTTGTATACACCATGCTTCCTCTGCTGTAAGTACCACCCCAGCTGTGCTTGGCTCTCAGAGGGGACTTGTTCCCTGCAGTGCAGCTGACAGCCTCCCCCACACCACCCCTTGCTAGGGCTATCCAGGATTTATCTGCAAGCTGGGGAAGGCATTTTCATTCCCAAATCTGTAACAGAACGTTAACATCGCCCTACCCTGCTTTACTTGACTTCGTACTGAATGAATGAATGAGAGAACTCCTGCACACTTGGAGTTCATCTCTTTAGCTGAAACTTGGTTCTGTGTATGTGCCTGCGTCTGCACATGTGGGCCTGGGGCTGGGCAAGCCCTGGCCTCTGGCTGTCTGGCCTGAATTCCACCGGGACACTCCTGGGCAGCTCCATATCAATTACAAGCCATCAATAATGCATCCCTTCAGAGCGGCCAGGAAGCCATTAGCTGGCCTGCAGGCCTGGATGAGTGGCCTTGGAGAAAGTGGGCTGGGTGTGCCCATGGGAGGTTCAGATCAACAGGGCAGGAGGGGCTCCCAGCCCCAGCAGAGCTTGGGAGGTTGCCTCATGCACCCTTAGTCACCTGTGAGACCTTACTGCCAGAGGGGTGGCTTGCACCCTCCTGCCCTGTACATAAAGGCCTGCTTTCTCACTCTGTGGGCCCTCCAGCCACCTTTGAGTGCTGGGTTGTCAAGGTTCAGTGTCTGAGCCTCGTCCGAGCCCAGAGTTAGTGCTGAGTCTGTGACCAGGTCAGGGCTCAGTGGGTGACCAGAGTCCAGGCTCGGTGGGTGGCCAGGGTCAGGGCTTAGTACATAGCCAGCATGAGGCCTCCATCTTTGTCTTAGCTTTGGGACAGGGAGCCCAAAGCTCCCTTTGACTCTGAAGCCACGGAGCTGAACAAGCTAACTGGTTTCCCGCATTGATTTGTTCGTGTATTCAACAATGTTTATTGAATGCCTTTTGCATACCATGCAACAAAACAGACAAGACCCCTGCTGGTGGAGATGCTCTTCTCCTGGGGGTGAAGGGTGGCAGTGGTGCGGTGGAGGTTTCACTTGCTCACGAGAACCCATTGTGCCTATCTCCCCCATGGCATCTTGTTGGCAGGTTGAAATCAGCCATGCTAGGAGTATGCCTTTTTTTCTCACCCACTGGAACACCACTGTGGGTGAATAAGAAGTAAACTGATGGTTCTTTAAAAATGGTGGTTTGTTTTCACACAGCTAATAAAGACGTACCCAAGACTGGGTGATTTATAAAGGAAATAGGTTTAATTGACTCACAGCATGGCTGGGGAGGCCTTGGGAAACTCACAATCATGGCAGAAGGGAAAGCCAAACACATCTTTCTTCACATGGCAGCAGCAAGGAGAAGTGCCAAGCCAAAGGGGGAAAAGCCCCTTATAAAACCATCAGATCTCGTGAGAACTTACTATCATGAGATCTGATAAAGGCATGGAGGTAACCACCCCTATGATTCAACATGGGGATTATAGGAACTACAGTTCGAGATGAGATTTGGGTGGGGACACAGCCAAACCATATCATGGCGTGATCACAAATATTTATCTGATTTCCTTCCCCAAACCCCAGTAGAATGACAGTAAAGAACAAAGTCATAAATGCATTAGAATTAAGAAACTACCTCTTAGTCGAGTACGGGGCTCACACCTGTAATCACAGCACTTTGGGAAGCTGAGGTGAGAGGACTGCTTGAGCCCAGACGTTTGAGACCAGCCTGGGCAACATGGCAAGACCCTGTCTCTACAAAAAATAAAAACAAAAAAATTACCCGGGCATGTGCCAGTAATCCAGCTGAGGCTGAGGTGGGAGGATCACTTGAGCCCATGAATACAAGGCTATGATCATGCCGCTGCACTTCAGTGTGGCAGACAGAGTAAGACCTTATCTCAAAAAAGGAAGAAAAAGGGAGAGACAGAGAAAGAGAAAGGAGAGAGGGAAGAAGGAGGGAGGGAGGGAGGGAAGGAGGAAACAGAACTCTCTTTAAGTCTTGTCCATTAGGACAAAGGAAAGAGATTTTAGTGATTGGGGAAAAATGGAGACTAGACAAAATGCTAACTGATCCAGCAGAGTGGAGAGTGGGTAACTAAAGTGCCCGCAGAGGAGGACAGTGAGGGAAATGGGGTGACTCTCCCCTTGGAACCCCTGAGGGTCTGGAAGAGGGTGTAGTGTGAAGCTGACACTGGGTGGGCGTGGTTTACAGTCTGCATGCGTAATATCTGAGATCCCATGACGCCCTTCCAAACCCTGCATGACCAGGAGACTAAGTTCCCCCACCTGCAAGAGTCAAGGGGTTTGTCCTCGGGAGAAAAGTAACCTGAAGCCTCTTCAGGTGGGCACCGGGTTAGGCAGGGACCTGGGGAAAGGTGGAGGGCTGAAAATGAGGAATAACTCAAAGTCTGCCCCATTCCTCTGCCCTACTCCCAGCACAGAAGCAACCAAACAGAGCCTCAGGCAGGAAGCTGAAAACTTTCGCCATCCCAGAGACAAAACCTGTAGACCCTGGTATTGGGAGTTTGTCCAGTGCCAGGTGGCTGTCTGGCTGCCCTGTTGTTCATGAATGCATTTAGTTGTATGTGTGTCTTACTTTCATAAAAGTAAAATCAAGAAAACATTAAATACACACCATCAGAAGGTGGTAAGTGCAATACAGAGAATTCAGATAGGCTCATGCGACTGAGTACCCAAGGGGCTGCTCTAGGTATCGGTCAGCGAAGGGCCCTCTGAGGGGGCCACGGCAGCAGCTGAGAAAGCGGCCCTGAAATCAGCACATGATTGGTATTATAGAACCAGGAGGAGGACTGTGTCTTGGGGTCAGGTCACAGGAGACAGAATGAGACGAAGTGGGCCAGGTGGGCACTGCCAGAGGTGGCAGTGGAGGTGGAGGGAAGTGGGATAGCTGCTGGACTTGGGGGATGGATTGGATGTGGGGGTGAGGGAAAGAGAGGAAGCAAGGAAGGTGATTGCATCTTTGGCTCCAGCTAAAATGAGATGAAAACACTTGAGGAACAGGTTTGGAGAGCCAGTGAAGAGTTCTTCTTTGACCAGATTGATTTAGCAACTCCTGTGAAAGTGATACTTTCATGGAGGCATTGGAGGTGACAGTCTGACACCCGGGTTTGAGGAGTCAGGGCTGGAGAGGTGCATTTGGGCGGCATGGGCAAGTAGGTAACCTCCTAGGCAGGGGCCGCGGCGTTGTCTCGGCTGTCCGGTCTCCCTGCTCGCCCGGTGCAGAAGCAGTGTGAGGCGTGCGGGGAACACTAGGTGGCGGTGACGGCCCTCCTTCCCGCGAGACCGCGGCCCGGACCCGCAATGTCAGGCCCAAACTTCGCTTTGGCCCAGATGTCCCAGGAAGGCCCGGGCTTGGCCACCTCAGCCACAAACCCAAGAGGTAGCTGGAAGCCTTTCCGAGAAGCTTTCCCCAACAGAAAGTAAAACAAAATGTACGCAGCTTTGACAAGGCCAGGTTGCTGTCTGGCCACCCTGTCGTTCGTGAATGCTTTCAGTTGTGTGTGCATGTTTTATTTTCGTAAAAGTAAAATCAATAAAACATGAAAATAAATACACAATAATGTCAGGAGGTGTAGGTGCAATGCAGGAGATTCAAATAGGCTGCCATCCACCTGGGAGAAAGCCCTTAAGAGGAAGCAACCCAAGTCCTCAAAGAGGTGAAAACCCCATTTTGCAGACAAGGAAACTGAGGCTGGGGAGGTGACGGGACTTGCTCAAGGCCACAGGGCCTGGAAGCCGCAGGGCTGAGACTGAACCCGGTCTGGTCCTGGGTGCCTCCTCGTGGAGGAGAGAAGTGGGTGTTACTGGGAGAAAACAAGCCAGTGTTCTGACCAGCGGGCAGTGATGGCAGGATGGGGTCCCCAGGCTGGGAACGCGGGCCCTGGATGTCCCGAGGTTTCCTGTTCGTCCTTAGTCATCAGTGCTTACTTGTCGAGCCCCCTTGGGGTGCCGTATCTGGGTGAGGAGCTGGAATGAATTCATACCCAGGGCTCCTGACTGCCCGTCCAGTGGTCTTTCCACAAAGCACCCAGAGGTCAGTCTGGGGTCTCTGCCTGGCCGCCCCCGCCCCAGATCGAGCCCGGCCCTTCTCCTTCTGCAGTTTGAGATCCGACAGCTGCGCGCGCACCTCGCGCAGCAGGACCTGGATCTGGCTGCGGAGCGCGAGGCGGCGCTGCAGGCCCCGCACGTGCTCAGCCAGCCGCGCAGCCGCTTCAAGGTGGTGGAGGCCGGCGCGTGGGACGAGGAGACGGCGGCGGCCGAGAGCGTCGTGGAGGAGCTGCAGCCGTCGCAAGGTGAGTCTGGGTCTCCACCCGGCCCCAGATGCCATGGCGGGGGGCGCCCCCTCGCCTCCCTCCCGCGCCCCGGGACTATGCGCAGAGAGGCTGGGGTTCCAGGTTGCTGACGGCGCCGCGGTTCCCTGCAGGTGTATGCCCCTCCTTCACCGTGACTGGGGAGCACCCTCAGATAAGTAGCCTCGGGAGTGCCCGTCAGAGCCCGGGAGAGAGCATGAAGTCCAGCCACCCTGACCCAAACTAGAAATGACTCATCCCCATTTTGTGCCTGTGGCCCCCGGCGTGCGTTGTTTGCAGCGTCTTCCCTGTCCTCGCAGCAGCCGTAGGAGGAGGTATGACTCTCCCGCTGTATGGCTGAAGAAACCGAGACCCAGTAAAGCCGTCCAAACGCGCCTCGCTAATAAGTGGCAAAGCCAGGCTTCTTAGAGGTCTGGGGCTCCTACTGGACTGCTATCTACCGGGGCCCAAAAAAGTTCAGGCCCGGGGCCAGAGCAGCCTGGAGCCTGAGCCTTGCAGACGGTGGCAGATTGATGGGAAGGTGATGTTAGTGGAGATGGGAACAGCCGCAGCCCAGGGTAGGGTCCTGTATGGAAGGGGAGTTATTTATTTCTAGATTCAAATCCCAACTCTTCTATCAGCCGTTTATGTCACGGGACTCTCGGGGCCTGGGTCTTGCCAGCTGTCAAACAGGAGCAGTACTAAGGCTTCCTCACAGGACTGCTGCAAGGTTCAGAGGTTTGGGGAAACGCAGGGGGCCACCCAAGCCAGGAAATGGTGGTGCTGGGCTGGGAACTCGGGCTGCGGGACCCCAAACCCCAGCTTCATCCAGGATCCATTTTGCCTTGGCATGCCGTGACCTCTCCCGGGTAGCGAGGACAGAGCCGGGCAGGCTGAGCAGGTCGGGAGGCAAGAGGCCCAGCTCCATGACTCGAGGTTTCAGTGTTCCCTTCTGTAAAATGTACTCGTAACTCCAGCTCTGTCTGCCTCACAGGAGGTAGAGGTATGAGGAACCAATGGGTGTGAGAAAGCTAAGGGCTGTGAGGCACTGCAAAACTGCACACAGGTTTTGGGAAACGAAGTGGTTGCTTTTTTTTTTAGCTGGGTGAGGAAGACAAGATCTCACTCTTGGAGTACAGTGGTGGTATAACAGTTCACTGCCACCTCAAACTCCTGGGCTCAAGTGAGCCTCCTGCCTCAGCCTCCTGAGTAGCTGGGATTATAGGTACACACCACTACACCCAGCTAGTTTTTATTTTTGTAGAGATGGGGTCTTGCTGTGTTGCCCAGGCTGGTCTCAAACTCTTGGCTTCAAGTGGATCCTCTTGCCTCAGCCACTGAAAGTGCTGGGTTTGCAGGCATGAGCCACTGTGCCCAGCCACTCTTCTGAGAGACCTTCAGAGCTTAGAAACATAGAATTTGGGGGCAAGAGGGGGCTTTTGGGTCCAGCCCTTCAGCTGATGTGAGACTCCCATCTATGAGCCAACCCTATGAGCCGTGCAGCCTCAGCTCACCCTCCTCTAAGAATAGGTGCTTCACACCTCCCCGGGCAGCCCACCCCACCTCCACATGGCTTTGCCTGTAAGAAAATTCTTCCTCAGACTGCACTGAGGCCTGGTCCCTGGCTCCCTGCCTCCCCACCGGCCGTGGGTTTCACACACAGGCAGTGCTCTCCCAGCTGAGACCGTTTAGACATTGTTTCTCCTCCAAGGACCATCACCTGCATTCCCGCAGCCAGTCCTGGGGGACACTCCCCAGTTCTTGCTGTACTGCCCCCTCCCGGAGCTCTCCAGTGGTTTGGTCTCAGAATAACATCCACAACTGAATGCAGTTACTGGGGAGCTGCCAGCTCAGGGCAGAATGCTGAGGGGCCACTTCTGCTTTCTTTCTCTGGACCCGGGAACCCCACGATGCAGCCAGAAGGCTCCTGAGTTTGTGGGGACCCCCTAGCTGAGCTCACAGCTGACCCAGCCTCACGTCTTCCCACACAGCTCTGCTGAGTCCTGTGTCCCTGCAGCCCACCCTTGGGCAACAACAGGCCTTTTGTAGCCTCGTGCAGAACTTCACGATCATCAGTGTTCAGCTGTAGCTTGTTGATTCCTGCCTTGCCGCCAGGGCTTGATAGGTCCTGATTTGCAGCCCATCGCCAATTCCTTATTGAAACAGTCCCCTTCTTCATCTTCCTCGTTTAGCCTTTGTTATGTCTCGACCTCGCCAAGCTGCCTGCCCTCTGCCATCTCTCCTCCCCCACCATACAGTGAGCATTCCAAAATCTTTCTTCCCACTGCCTGACTTCCCACCTTTCCTGGTTCCCCGTGTCCCTCAGGAAAAAGCCCCAAGCCCCTTAGGCCGGTGTATTAGTTTGCTAGGGCTGCCGTAACAAAATGCCACAGACTGGCTGGCACAAACTACAGAAATGTATTGTTTCACAGTGCGGGGACTGGAACCTGAGATCAAGGTTGAGCCCAATTGCTACCCGCTGTGGGCTGGGAGCGAGAATCTGTCCCAGGCCTCCCTCAGGCTCCTGGTGGTGGCTGGCAGTCCTTGGCATCCATGGCTTGCAGAAGCATCACCCTGCTCTGCCTTCATCTGCACATGGCGTCCTTCTGTGCACATGTCTGGGTCTAGATTTCCCCTTTTTATAAGGGCTGCAGGCATATAAGGACCTCAGCTTAATTAATGACATCTGCAACCGCCTTATTTCCAAGTGAGACTACATTCTGAGGTACTGGGGGTTAAGCCTTCAACACATGAATGAGGAGTGGGTACCCATTCAAGATCAAGCGAGCTTTTGCCCTTCTGCTCCATGGGAGGTTTCGGTCCTCCCTGAGTTCGCCTTAGGACACCTGCGTTACTGTTTGACAGGTGTATCCCTGATGATCTTGCCCCAGGCTGCCTCCCCAGCCTCATTTCCTTCCACCCCAGCTCAGCTTTCACTCTAGAGGAATGGAACAGCCTTTAGTTCTGTAAATGCTCTGTGAGGTCTCTGAGTCTCTGCATGCTGTTCATGGGATGGCCCGACCTGCCTACCAGACTTCTCTTCTTGCTTGGAACCCATCTTAGCATATGCACCCAGACCTCCATGCCCTTCCCTGACAGCCTTACACCGACTCCTGAATCCCACGAGGTCCAGATCCTGCCCCACTGCCATAAGTGTTTAAGTGTGTCTCCCCTCTAGACTATTTCAGGGCCGGCCTCGGCCCGGACCTCAGCCAGGTCTCCATAGAGTTTGTTGCATTGAAGCTCGTCTTCAAGCCGGTAACTGATCAAAGTACAAGATGAGGCTCTCTGACATCACTTGTTCTGGTGTGGAGCCCTGCATCTCCTCTGGGAGCTGAGGCCAGTTGGCAGTAGTCCACCCCACAAACCCCACTCTTGGCTTTCAGCCCCCAGGCTGGTGCTTGTGGAAGCTACCTTCTTATTCTTTTTGAAAGTTCTTCTGGAAGATGGGAGCAACTTTTGCCCACTTTGCCTGGCTTCCCAAGGATGAAAGGAGCAGATTTACGATCTCACAGCCCATTCCGGGATCTTCCCCCATGACAGCCTCCTGGCTCTGCTCACAGCCTGTCTTGAGGCTGCAGCTCACCTGGGGCTTGGGCCTGCCCTGTGCTGTTCTTTCTGCAGGTCTAAGCACTTCCGGTACAGCCACTCTCCCCAGCACCCCTCTCTCTCTCTTCAGGGTCATTAGCTTTAGAGCTAACAGCATGGCCCTTCTTGTCCCTCAGCCAATTACCTACAAGACACTGGATGCCAGAGGCCACATTTGAGCCCACAGGGAACCAAGATCTGGGCCTGGAGGGTCCACAAACCAACCAAGCCTTTAAAATCTCCTGCACATTCTAGCAGTGCTCTGAAGCTTTCAGCCCTGCCCCTCCCTCCTGCTCCTTCTCTCGGCAGCCCTTATAGTGGGCCAACTTCCAGGAGGAGAAGGGAGGCAGGGGCAGAAGGCAGAAAGCTGGGTCAGAGTCAAAGCCCACTCAGGGAAAACTGATCAGCCATGTGTTACCAGCAAGATGTCACGGGGGTCTGCACTGTCCCTGCTCACCCTCCTGGAAACTAGGGTAGAGGGTATTTGGACAAGGCAGGCTCAGGCCTCCCATAGAGAGGGGAGACACGCACCCTGAAAGCAGGTGCAGATGCCTCTCCATCCAGCCCTGGAGTCCCCCCTGGCCCGCTCTTCCCTGCCTTTTCTGGGGCATCCCCTGGGTACCTCCCAGCTCTCTGGATGCTGCCTGCCCCCTCATAGGCAGCTTCCCCTGCACACTGTTTCACAGCCAGCCCCAGAGAATCCACAGCGAAGCCAGTGCCTCCAAGACAGAGGGCAGAACGTGGGGCTGGCAAGGGCACCCATGATTCACAGCCTCATGTGGTCCAGGGACACAGGGCATCCCCCAGCTGATCTCTCCTTGACCAGGAGCTGTGCCCAGGGAGGGATTTTCATGACATTAGAAATTATGGCTGGACAAGCTAAGAGCACTATAGGCCACTCTGGAGATTAAGTAAGGGCAGTGTTTGTTGCTAACTGTGACCTTCAGGCCAACAAGGCTCTGAGGCTCACTTCGTGCATAGTGGGACACAGACAATCCAGGGATTAACCTGCAGACAGGAGCCGAGTCACGGGAGCCTCGGAAGGGGCCTGCATTTTGCGGGGTGGAGGAGGGCAGCCCGGGAGGGCGGGTTGCCAGCCCCAGCCATGAGGAGGAAGCGGCTCTGCAGTCTCAACAGTTGCCAGCAGGTCACAGTCAGACAACGCCAAGCAGCTTCTGTTTAGACTTGCTCTAGCACAAATCATTTTTAAAACCTGGGCTGCAGAGTTCCAGGCTTTGGGGCCTGCCAAGTTCACAGTGCCCCTGTGTAGTCATTAATACTTCCCTCCCAAATTTATTAGTCCTGAAGCTCGCCCATAACTTATGAATTACAGCTCCTGGTGGGAGTGCCACGCATCTCACTATATATCACAGGGAATCTGCGTCCCCCACGCTGCTGCAGCCTCCAGAGACACT